TAGTGGAAATAAAATTATTTTAAATTATACATTACAAAATTAAATATAAATAATTTAGAAAAATAAAATATAGAAATATTTAAAAAATAAAATATAAATTTTTCAAGTATCTTATTCGTATATATATGTATTAAAAAATAAATTTAGAAAAAATAAAACTTGAAATTTAAAATTCTTAGTTATCTATATGTACTTATTTAAAAAAATTAATAAATTATATCCAATCAACTAATAAAACGTAATTTTTCTAATTGATTATAACTAAAGTTATTTTAGCACACTTTAACTTTTGTTAAGGGTAGAATATGAAATTTCATTATTCCTCCTATTCCCACATTTATATATAGTATAAATAGATATATAATTTTTTATCAATTTTTATTATAAAGTATAATATTCTTTGTTTTTGGCAAGCTCAATATCCCCCCTCCCCATTCCAGTTTTTTGAACCTGCGTTACATATTATTTGTAGTCGTTGATTTTCATTCGTTTTAAATAAATATAATATAATTTATATATATATACATGTACATAATATTTTATTAATTTTTTGATATAAATTATAATTTTCTTATCAGTTCATATTACTAAAAATTTATGCGTATTTACAAAATTAAATTTCTCTCTATTTCAACGTTATATATAAATATATAGGTATAATAATAAAATAGTATAAATTTTTTAAAATTAAAATTTTCAATAATTCTTCATCCACAAATCTGTATTCACATATTATTTAAAAATAATTTTTAAAAAGTAATTATTTTCAATAATTCCCTTTTCATCCCAAACAAATCTGTTAATTCACATATTAGACGTAGAGATAATTATTTAAAAATTAATTTTTAAAAAGTAATTAATTAACTTATTAATTATATAATAAGTAAATTAATCACCCAATCAAAATCTTCTAAAAGACAAAATAATTATTTATAAAATCTGTAAAAAAGACAAAATAAAATGTTGACAAAAGAGAGTACAAATTCTACATTTATAAAATTTCTCTTTTTTTTCAATCTTATATAATAATATTTATAATATTAATAATAAAATATTATATATATTTTGAAAATTTATAATTTGCAGCTATCCGTCATCATGAACACATATGTCCAATTTATTTAAAAATAAAATTAAAAAAGTAAATATTTAAAATTTTTTTGAAAGCCTTAATTATGTATTTATATTTGAAAATTTATTTTTAAAATTATATCCAATCAAATCAGTCAAACATAAAGAAGAAAAAAAGAATGTTAATCAAAAATATAATTTTTTTCTGTTTCCTAAATAAGATCTTTTAAATTATAATCAAAATAAAGTCAAACATGTTTGAAAAATAAAATAAAATTCAAATGTCTCACTATTATATACATTTATGAAAAATAAATTTAAAAAAAATTAAAATTTTGAAATACTTAATTATCTAAATGTATTTATTTAAAAAATATTTTTCATACATCATATATAATCAATTAATAACATGTGATTTTTAATTTGTCATTATTAATGTCATTTTAGAATATTTAAATTTCATTAAGTGTGATATCAAAAACCTCATGAACTCTCATGTTTTGACATTTATCCGTGGTATAAATAAATATTTTTATAGATTATAGATGAATAGGTTTTTTATATATCTATACATAAATATTTTTTTATCGATTTGGTTTGATTTAAATCTAACAAAAAATTTTTTGAATCAAAATCTAACGGTATTTGCTTACAATTGAAATCAAAATTTGAAACTATATTTATATTGTCAATTTGGGAAATTTTGTAAATTTATGTAATTTGAGTAAGATCATAAATTCCCTAACTTGATTAAATAAAAACAACCAAAATTTGACATTTCATCCGAATTTTTTTTTTTTCAATTGGATATTTCATGTGAACATTTAAGTTTTATCAGCAATACCCGTCGTTCTAATTGTCTTTAGATGTTTTGGTATATATTAATAATTTATATACCGATTTAAAGAAAAAATATTTGGTAAAAATAATTTTTTGATTAGTTGTTAAATCAAAATGGCAAAAAAAAAAAAAAAAAAAAAAAAAAATAAAATTTTGAAATCTATATTTATAAATTGTATTTGGGGGGAAATTTTTTGTAAATTTTTTTATATGTTAATTTGGAGTAAGGTGCGCGCGTGGAAGAGAGGCGGAGGATGGGACGTGGTGTCATCATAAATTTGTCCCTACACTTTGTTATTAAGATAAAACAACCAAATTTGACATGTTCAGCAACATAAAGAAAACAGTTGCACTTTCAAAATCAAACATGGATTTCCCGAAAAAAGAAAAAAAAAAAAAATTTTTTTTTTTTTTTTCAATCCTGGATATTTTCATGTGAAACATTTAAGGTTTTTATGCAAAAGCAATACCCGTGCGTTCTAGATGTGTCTTTAAGAGATGTTTTGGTATAAGCATAGCTTAATACTTTATATGTATACCGATTTAAAGAAAAAAATATGGAGTAAAAATGAAATAATTTTTTGATGTAGGTTGTTTTAACAATCAAAATGGCAAAAAAAAAAAAGAAAAAAAAAAAAAAAAAAAAAAAAAAAGAGAGGTAAAGGAACATTTTTATATTACAGATAGCGCTTATTAATTTATAAAAAGTAATGGTATAAGTGTCAATAATCACTTCATCTATTCTTTTTATTTAGAGAAAATTTATAATTAAAGTATTTCTTATATAAAAAAATTTACTTGATATGGAAACTTTGATAAAAAATGCTAAAGAAAAAAAGCTATAATGCCTTAATTTAACTTCATTATGCGTTAATTTTGTGAGAAAAATGAAATAACCGCAGACCAAACATGGTCATGCATTTAATGTCTTTATATTTGCAAAGCAGAATTGGAGGTGTATTCTCTCTTTGTTCAATGCATTATGTGTTATGCTTTTAACTACGATGCACATATTTTGGTTCAATTTATCAAATAACAAGTATATTGATATTTTTAAATGAAAATTTAATTCACAATCTTTTGAAATTTTGAATTCGCGTTGTTTTACGCATAGTGATAGAAACTCATATGTTGCAAGTTTTTGAAAAAAAAAATTCCGATATAGAAGATAAAAAATTATTATTTTATTATCAAAATCAATTGACGAATTAATTGCTATTATGGAGATTTTTATTTTTGGTCAAAGTTATCATCAAGCGGAAATGTCTAATATTATATTTTTTAATTTCAATTTTACTATTCTAATTTATTTTAGTTTGTTAAAATATCAATGAATTTATTAACTATTTATAGAAATGTTTTATGTTTGATCTATACGAGTATTTGTAATACTTGAATATTGTTATTAATGAATTATATTTCAAAAAAAAAAAAAAAGAGTCTTAACCTAGTCAAAATAGTAAAAGTAATTCAAATTTTATTGCCGAATAGGATCTAAATGTAAAAAAAATTAATTAATTAATTTATGTAAAGCACTGAACTTTTGGATAAGTAAATTTGACTAAAGGTTATTTCAACTTTTAAAAGCTATCATAAATAGTACATTACCAAATGATATGAATAATAATATAGAATTTTGACCTTGTCAAATTATAAAGGTTACTCAAATGTTGTTATCGAATACAACCTTAGTCATTCTTTCTTCTTTGTTTGAAGAAATTAATTATTTTTCTTTAATCAATTTTAATACAATGGAAAACAACAGATTTAGTTCTTATTTTTCACGAAAATAAATGTATTTCTTTTTTCACACGAATTAAGAAAATTAATTAATGTAATTCGTACAAATTAATTTTATTTATACTTTTTCTAAATATCTCTATATTAAATGTCACTTCAAAGATGGAAGTTGAAGAGTATGTGCAGATATTTTTGAGTATTCGCTTGAATCAATTTGATGAGAATTCAAATAGTTATAAATTGTTTTAGGGTTTAGGACGGATATAAATAAAGTACAAACATAGATCTCAAATTTAGTTATAGAGACGCTACACATTTTAAATGAATTTTGGTGGATGGATTTAAGTGGATTTGAGATGGATACAAAATAGATTTAAGTACCAATAGTTTAAAATCTGAGAGTACCCATCCCACTTCTATTCCTAATTACTCACAATAAATAATTAAAATTATCTGTAACAAGATATATAATATTAAACAAATAATTAAAATTGTTCATAACAAGACATAAAGTATTAATTAATAAATTAAAACTTAACTCGAGAAACTTCTTCAGTATTTATAGAGTATTAGATCCTACATTTAATCGTAAGTTCGGGCTGACATTTTAAAAAAGGATTTTAAATCCCACAATCATTAAATTTGATGTAAATAAAAAAAAAGAAATAAAGCTCAATTTACTCAATTGGACTTGGAAGAAATATACAAATTGCCCAAAATTAATTTTTTGATCTTGCACTAAAAGAATAAAAAATTCATTTCCTAGATAAAAATCCAGTATTTATCAAAATAAAATTTTTTGATTTAAATCAAATATAATAAATATTTTTCAAACCACATTATTCAATGTAATCAAATGTTTTTATTATCTTATAATTTTTTAAATAAATATTTTGTTTAATTACACTATAATTTTTTTATAATGATTGTGTTTATTTAAATAAATTTTTTCTTTTATAAGTTTAAACTTTTTAAATAATTTTTATTAGTTAATATATTAAAATTATTTTTCTTTAAAAAAATAATTTCTTATTCTTTTTTATGCAAATTAAAGAGATAAATATAAAAAAAAATCAATGTTTAGATAAATTATGCATTCGTTTCAAGTTCAAGCCAATTAAGCCTTATTCTAAAAAAGAAATGTTATTTTTGTGGAGGGAGACAGTAATATAATTATCGATTAAATAATTTTGCAGGCACCAAATTAAATGCAATGAATAATAAGTATTTAATTTGCAATGACATATTTGCCCTGTCTCAGACACGTGTCAACACGGTTCGTGACCGAGTCGGAGGAGGCGAAGGTTTCTACCTAATCACAGCATCAAAATTTGATAAAACCACTCTCTGTCTCTCTCTCTCTCTCTCTCTCTCTCGCTGCTAAAACTAAAAAGCTTTCGCTTTTCCTTTCCGTGCGTTGCTTTGACAAACCAATTAAGCAATTCCTCTTCTCTGTCTATTTATATATTTATAGAAAAAAAAAGGAAAAAAGGAAAAGAAACGAAGGCACTGTTTGGCGAAATAGAAAATAAAATAAAATAAATCGACAATGAAATAGAAAAAATTATTCTCTAACGGCCTTAAAATTCTATTTCTCTGCACAGGTATTTGCTTCTCTCCTTCTATCTTTCTTTATGTTATTTTACTTTTTCAATAATTTTTGGTGTTCAATGTGTGTTGATATGGATGTTTATCTAAGTGTAGGTTTGTTTGTTTATTTGCATTATCCTGCGAATTCTAAGATAGGGTTTTTGCTTGTTTAGAGAGAGAGAGAGTGGATTCTAGGGTTCTGTTTTATTTTTATTATTATTGTTTTAATTATTTGGCAGCTGTTGACCCAGGTACTGTTTTCTCGTTTTCCTTTTGAGGGAGACGGTGAGTCAAACTCAGAGGCTAGGGTTTTATTAATTGGGGATCGTTTGGGGTTAGGCATTGCTTTGGTTTGGGTTATAATGCAATTTACTGGAGTGTTGGTGATTCCTGTGATGTTTCCATAATAGTAATGCATTGATTGGTTAACAAGTTGATCAAACTTAGATGGGTTCGTGTGAGAACTCACTTGAGGTCCACGAACCTTTGCAACAAGCTTATATTGAGCAGCATTTGTGCTCAATTAAAAATTCTGATTCTGAGAAACTGCCTTGCTCAGAGGCTGGTGTTGATGTGATTGATAATGATGTGGGTCCCACTGGTGCTCTAGATGGGTTCCTAGAGTTATCTCAAAATGATAGTGCTGGTTGTGTGAGCTCTAGTGAATTAAGGGGCGCCGAGTCTGTTGATTGGGTAATTGGGTCAGCCACAGAGGTTGAATGTGGGAATGAGAGGCAAAGTGGAATTGATGATTGCAGTGTGGAAACTGATGGATTTTGTGTGGAAAAAGAAGCTTCTAATAATGAAAACAATGGATCAGAGAATTCATTGGAGGATTGTGAAAGGTCTCTGGAATTGGTGCACGCTTCCAGTTCAGTCAGAAATTGTGATCAACAGGATGAAGAGAAGGATGACTGGAATGTCCGAAGGGAAATGGAAGAGAAAACTGATGGTTTAGCTGGAACAAAAATTGAAACTTGTGACCAAATGATGCCTTCATTTAACTGTGAGATGCCAGCAGAATTAATAGCGGTGGATGCTTTGGCTATAAATGGAGTTGAACCAGACAAGGACATCCGTGCTATTTTGGAGAGGGCTGTGGTGGTCATGGAAAATAAAACTGCTGGTTTGGTTGAGATAGATACTGATAATCACAGCCAAACAGGACCAGCGAGTAATTATGTTCAGCTGGATGACCAGAAAGATCAACAGTTGAACAATAGTCCCTCTGCAAAAGTGGTTACAGAGGTTATAAAAACAAATAGCAATGTTTCACCTATGATAGAGACTATTGCTCATAATCAGTTGTTCTCTTGTCAAGGCTTTGATGAGGCCTTGGAATTAATGCCTAAGACTGATTCCTCAGAAGAAAGTATTAAACAGGAAGAGCAGAATGATGATGGTTCTATTACTCTGCCTTCTGAGCAAGGAGTTATGGAAAAGAAAAGTAATCTTTCTACTGGGGTAAAATGTAACCTAAATAACCAAACATTCTCCTCAATGGATGATGAAATGCATGTGGAATTAGATCCTTTTCCTCTCTTACCAAAACATAGTTGCCAACAAAATGACCTGGAGGCCAAGACTGTTAACAGTGTAGGTTCGATGGGGGTTGTGAATGGGAAAAGTGATGCTTCAGCCACTACGGATTCTGATATATGCATACAGAAAACACTCCATCACATTGCAATGCCAAAGGAATCATCAATTACTGGTTCTCTGGAGAGTACTTGTGAAAGGAAGAATGATCAGAAAAATGGCTTTAGTGTTAATTGTTTTACTGCAGAAACGGTTTCTACAGATATTTTGAAGAAAAGTGGTGTGGATAAATGCATCCAGGCATACCCTTCACAGGCTTGCCAGAGGACCTTGGAGAATTTAGCTATCGCTGACTCACTGGGTAACCCCGTCTATGAACCCTTTATAGAAGGCATGCCAGGCATTGTAGAAGAGGAAAGTGATGTGACAACTGAAATAAAGTTTGAGATTCATGGCCAGAAATTTTGTGTGGAAGGAGATGCCTATGATCTGAAGGAAGGGTCACCTGAAAAAACTCCCAGCAGTGCACAGTCATGCCAGCCCTTTGGGAAGGATGTTTCTCATGATATTTATTCTAGCCATAGTGTTGACTGTTCTGAACAGATTGATAAGGAAGGGAAGGTTCTTGCTGGAAGTTGTCCTTCCAAAACCACATGTCTAGACATTGGCTCATCCTCTTCACGAAGGAGCAAAAGAATTCGTAAATCCGGTCAGAAAACTCAGACAAAAAGAGCTGCAAAGAAACGCAAGAACAAAGCTAAACTGCAAGACCTGCAGATCTTCAAGGCTGATAGAAGGAAGAGAAGCTGTTTCTCCAAACCAGCTCGCTCTTCTAACTGGGGATTATTAGGGAATATCACCCAATTTTTTGAGCAGAGTAATGGGCTGGGGCTCAATGAAATTCAGTACTGTGGACCAAGAAAAATAAAGGTTGAACAAGGGAATGGAAAGAGGGGTAATAGTCAGCCTAGTGGAAGCTCCCAGAAGTCTAGTGGAAAAAAAAATTCTTCAACTGGTGGTATTCGCTTGAAAGTTATAGTCAGAAAAGAAGTTGGTCAAAATAGTCTGAACCTGGTGGTCCCAGAAGTAATTGATACCTCAACATCTGGTGTTCTTGTCAGTGAATTTGAGGCTAAAACATACACAGGAACAAGTTCCAAAATCCCAAATGTTGTTAGTGGTGCTGAAGATAAAATGGGGGAAAGGGAGCGTGAAGAGCAGCTTCAATGTTTTGGCAATAAGCTGGAGGAGGCAAAAGTATACCCCAATGCTTCTGTTTCAGATTTTCATGTAGCAGATAAGGACTTCGAGGGCCATTTGATTTGCCAGAACTCAGCTGTTGATGCTGCAGCGGACTATCTTGGAGTTCCCTCACATTTAGAGGTTGATATATCCGGGGAGGCAACTGAGAAGAGGTATACTGATCCTGGAACTTCACCAGACTCAGAAGTTATCAATTTAGTTCCTGAAGGCCAAGTCAATGCAACATGTCAAGAAGATCTCCACGATGTTGTTTTGACTTCTCCTAAAGCTTTTGTTGCCGCTGGAGCTGTTGCTAGGGGTAAGAAAGGAAAGAAGAAAGATAGACGCATCCGTGTCAGTGACAATTTTGCAGAAGATATATCTCCTGGTATGTCGAGCATGAAAAGTGTTAAAACAACAAAGAAGCACGGGGGTAGGCAGGGAAAGGATGATGGATTTCTCTCTAGTCAGATTCTTATTTCACCTACTAAAGCAAATGTTTCTAGCAACTTTTCAAGCCATAAAGAATTTTCTGAGGAACAGTTACATTTGTCTAGAAAGACCGAATTTAGAGTCTCTGAAGAGGCTTTGCAAGCAGAATCTGGCCTTGATTTTGGGCCTAGATTGTCAGAATCACAGAATTCAAATAATCTGCTTCATTCAGTTAAATCTAAATCCAAAGGGGGTCAACTTCCAAAGAAATCTGATGGAGCAAGCAAGAGAAGGTCCAAGACCTCTGACAAAGCAAGGAGCAAGAAAGAAAATGGTTGTGGACAGAGAGGGAGTGAACGGAAGACAGTTAATAAAAACAAAGCCAAGGAGAAGAGTGAATGTGATCACGTTTATAAATCAGCAGATAATCCAGAAACAGGTATTATATTATTTCGGTTGCAAGCTCCAAATTTAATTCTTTAGCAATTTTGTATTCATATTCTGTTTTTTTTATACCTCGAATAGATGTTTCTAGCGTGATAAATATCAAATATCAGTGCGGTTTCACATTTATTGTCACTGCAGGAAATTGTATTGCTAAGGACACTGGGAAAACCAATCCTGTTGACAGTGTTGCCTCCATAGATGTTGCTAATTTGGACATGGCATCAACTGATGCAGTGGAGCAGCAGCCACCTGCTGATAATGCTTGGGTGCGCTGTGATGATTGTCATAAATGGCGGCGTATTCCTGTTACACTTGTAGATTTGATTGGTCAATCAAATTGCCAATGGTACTTTCCAACTTCTTATGTCTTTCTAATCAATCATGCAACTTTTTCTTTCTTCTTGCTGGGTATATTCCTTTCCTTTTTCTATTTCTTGGGTTATATGATTTGTTAAAAAGAAATAAAATTTGAGAATTATTGCCTATTTTTTTAGTTGGTTTGCAAATTCTCTTAGCCAGTGTTCCATTTCTGTACTTATTTTGCTCTCTTGAGTTTATTATTAGTCAATTTATAAATTCCTGTTTGGTTAGGAATTGATTGCGGCGTGACACTTTAGTCTATACTAGTTCACTTAGTTATCACATGATCTAAAGTTTTCTTTGTTTAGCTCTGAATCTAATTAAATTAATATTTGAACATTGCTCTAACCAGGCTCACATGGAATATGGCTTAACCTTTAATTTAGGCATTCCATATTAGGAGGTTAGTTTAGCTGCTTTAGCACTTGGGGGTCTTTGCTTTTGTCTCCCGAACATCATTCTCTTTTCATTGTCCTTCGGAAAATGTCAAATCTTTTAACGTTGATTGCTAATTTAGGGGCTAAAAAATGCCAAAATCCCAAAGTTTCTTCAAATTTTTTAGTGGTTGCTTTGGAAAGTAGCCCCAGTTCATAGCACTTCCAATAGCCATATTAGCAAATATGTTTCAGTTTTTCTTTGCAACCCCACAACAATGACAAGCTGCAACAATAAGGCACTAGCAGAATAGCTGACTGCCAATGGTGATTGCAACTGCAATTTCAAACAGCCAGTTGTTGAGCTTGTTATATTCCCTCATGGATGGGGAGAACTTATATAGTGCAGTCATTGGACATAAGAAACCCCACCCCTCCACCCCAACACAAAAAACAAAAAAAAAAAAAAAGAAAAACCAGTGTCAATTTATTGGCTGGTCAAAATATAATGGTATTCTTTGTGTCATCTTATGTCTACATATTGGAGAAGACTTGTTTCAGTCCAACACAAACTTGCCTTACCTTCTCCAAAAAACTCTTCTTTTATGATCTCCAATTCATTTTTGAAGGATCTGCGAGGACAACATGGATAAAGCCTTTGCTGATTGCTCCATCCCCCAGGAGAAGTCAAATGCAGAAATTAATGCAGAGTTAGGCTTATCAGATGCTGATGAAGATGCCTATGACGCCCCTTTAAAGAATAAGGGATTAGAATGGAAGCGTACTGCAGGTATGTAATATTTGCTAGTTATAACAGAACAGTAAGATAGGATACTGGCTTGATTCAGTCTTAATGGTTTTCAGCATTTTGTGGAATTGATTGTGATTCTTTAATATATTGTCAGTTTCCAAGGAGCATGAGTTTACGCGTATCTCTACTAACCAGTTTCTGCATCGTTGCCGGAAGACGCAGACTATTGATGAGGTACTAACTTGACTTAATATCATTTCGGTTTGTGATTGTGGATTTCAATAGATTTATGATGAGTTCAAATATTTTATTAATGTTGGTAATGAAGACAGGACTATACTTGGCCTTGTTGTTTATTTATTTGTAAAAGGCTGATGAACTTTTTGACCATGTAGTTTGCTCTATATCTAATTTCAATTTATTTCATAAACTCTAAGCAGATAATGGTTTGCCATTGCAAATTACCTCTACATGGTGGGTTAGGTTGTGGAGATGAATGCTTGAATCGCATGCTTAATATTGAGTGTGTTCAAGGCACCTGTCCATGTGGGGACCTGTGTTCAAATCAACAGGTAAAGCAGTCGTTTAGTCGGACAATAAACACTAAGGTTCCTATTCATTGATTTTTTTTGAACCATGAAGATCACAGTTTTGTGTCCAAATATCTATTTGCAGTTCCAAAAGCGCCATTATGCAAAAATGCAGTGGGCTCGATGTGGGAAGAAAGGTTTTGGTCTGCGATTGGAGGAGGATATTTCTAAAGGGCAATTTCTTATTGAATATGTTGGAGAGGTAACTTTTTAAGTGTTCTTTAGTCTTTTGAATTAATGGAAAATTAATTATGAGAAAGAAAACAAAGGGTGAAGGCGTGAAGCATAGGGCATCAAGCCTCATTGAAAGCCACATTTGCAAGTTTCCATTAATATCTTAGTTTTCTACTTACAATAAATGTGTATTGGTAATTATTGTTAATCTTCTATGATGAATTAGAATTACTCCACTCCAAGCCCTTGGTTGGATTTTGTTGTTTTGTGCGAACTAGAGGTGTTCACAGTTACAAACCAAACCAATAATGGAAATTTATAAGAAATTAAACCCAACCCAACCATGAAGGGTACTCAAACCAACCAAACCTATTAATGCAGTATGGTTTGGTTGGTGATTTGAAAAATACTCACTGTTAGAAAAAGAAAAAAAAAGAACAATAACTTCACATTAATAATTCCTTTATGAATAAAAAACCCCTTGTCAACTTAATAAGGGTGTGATGTTGGTGAGATTTTGAGCGAGAAACTAAGTTATTTGTCATAATACACGACTTATTAAGAGAAGTAATTTGGCTAATATAAATGCGTATGAAAAAAAATAATACCTATCATATGTATGTTTGATTTTGTTCTGTTTGGGCAGTTTTGACTTCAAAAATGTAAACTGAATTGATCAGTTTTTATATTTTCCAAACCAAACCAAACCAAACCCTCAACCTTTCAAAACCATGCCACTTATTCATGGGGAAAAAAACAATTTCACGTTGGTAGAACATGATCCAGAGCATATTAGCAAAATATGGTACTAACCAAAGTAATGAAGGGCTGTAACTATTACCGTGGGGTAGGTGAATGGATTGATCTTGACTTTTGCTCTCTTGTCTCATTTTCTATGCATTTCTTGTTCTCTATATGTGAGTGTGCACATATTTCCACAATCATTCTTTATGTAAAATTTTTTGTTGTCAAGATTTCTAATGTTTGATTAATCAGGTGCTTGATATGCATACTTATGAGGTGCGAATGAGAGAGTATGCTTCTATGAGTCATAAGCATTTCTACTTCATGACACTGAATGGCAGTGAGGTTTGAATTTATTCTTCTATATTCCTATTTCTTTTTCCTCTCAATTTTGTTGTAAGCAATAGTGATGATTGATGTGTTGGTTGAGACTGAACAAATTCAATTAGTTTCAAAATGGTGGAAGAAAAGGAAAAGGTTGGTAACATGATATCTTGTTGGCTGGTAGTAGAGCTATGTTGTGCATGTTAGTTACAGGTGAGAACTACATTCAAATGTTTTTTTGTCTTTCTTGTGAAAGCTTACTTATAGAGTTTTCTGGAGGTTCATAGAGTATGACATTTTGCATTCTACCTATAGAGCCTTCACACATTAATATGCATCAAATAGTAATTAGTTCGTGAGTGATGCAATAAACCTTTAATTTCTACTTGACTGAAAATAGTTAAGTCTTAAATATAGACTATTTGGGATTGGCTACACGAAATCTTTCTCTTCCATTTTATCCACCCGGTTTATAGCTTATAGCTAAATCTTCAGAACAATTTAGGTTGACTATCTTTTTTTTTTCACTACTACTGCTTGTGTTATCCTGGGTCTGTTCTTTGCTTTCTAACATGTAACATAGGATTCAAAAGCAGTTATTCTCTCATTCACTATCTTTTTCTCAAATGGATATAAGTTCATACTTTAATCTTGATCTTCATAAAAGAATTCAAAAGCAGTTATTCTCTATGGTTTTAGATCTCATAAACAAACATAATATTTAGCTATTTTTCTGAGTTATGCATTCTCAGTATTAATGTTATGCTATACAGTACACATATTAGTTTGTGGATGCATATTTGCAGTGGATCTGTCCATGGGTTGGTCAACTCTTTGCTTTTGTTCTGAACATCTGACAAGTTTTACAATGTTGATAATATCTGGTTGCCATCTAAGCTTCATTTTGGTTTTGGTGCCTCATAAGTAGAAGCTTGTGTTTAACTATGTTTAGGCATCTTTTTAGATCTATCTCACAGTAGTATGCAAGAAATTGGACATACTTTCCATGCTTGCCCTCGCAAAGTGTTGTCTATGTTTAACTAAGCATTAGCACTAGTTCCTTCAGCAGCTTCTATTAGTTTTTGTACTGTTTTTAATCTGAATATGTTGTTATGTGTGTCTTTATTGGGGGCGGGGGTTCTAATTATCTTTCTATAATCGATTCCATTTTCCTATGATCCGTGCTTTTCATTTTTTTCAGGTAATAGATGCTTGTGCAAAAGGAAACTTGGGGCGTTTCATTAACCATAGTTGTGATCCTAATTGTCGTACTGAAAAGGTGATAAATTGTGCAGCAGAGTATTGTATGAATGTTCTATTTTGCGTTTGTTTCAGTACTGCATTGTCAAGTTTCAAAAGAATATATTTGATTTTCTATGCAGTGCCTCTTCAAGATCTTCTTCTTCTTCTTTTTTTTTTTTTTTTTTTTTTTTTCTCCGTACTGGACTTATTATCCATTTTTGTTCCTAGGTTTTAATAGTCATCCTTGATCGCATCAAAAGAGAAACTTGGGGCTGGTTTCATTAATCATCTAGATCATATGTGAAATCCTAATTGTACGTTACTGAAAATAGGTGATAAAAATTGTGTCAGGCAGGATTCGGTCATGAATGTTCTAATGTTGCGTTTGTTTCAGCATACTTGTAATCATGTCTATATGAATTTCAAAAAGCAAAGATAATATGGTGTGATTGTACCCTAATGCCAGATTGCCCAATACTTCTAAGATCTTTTTTCTTCTTTCAATTTTTTTAATTTAAATTTTTTTTGTCTTTCATTTGTGTCATTACCATGCCTCGCAAAATTATATTCTCTTCATCTCACTTTCTTTCTAGTCTCTTCCAAAACAAAGGCGACATAGGCAATGTAAATGTTTCCTTTATTATTTTTTCCTTCTGGAAAAATGTGCTTTTTGCGCTTTCAACTACTTCACGGTAATGTAGAGGATGTCCAATTATGTTAATCTCTTTCTTGGACCTAGTGTCTCATTGTAGGTATTCTTGGAAACATACCTGATTTCGTTCATTTTTTTTTTTTTTTTTTTTTTTTGTGTCTCCTGCTGAAATTTATTTCTCTTTCACTTTCTTTCTAGTCTCTTCCAAAAACAAAGGCACATAGCATGTAATGTTCCTCTTTATTATTTTTCTCTGGAAAATGTTTGCTACAACTACTTAGGAGAGAGCCAAATTATGTTACTGGCCAGGTCTTCATGTAGGATTTTGAAATACTGTTCGTTTCTTCTATCATATATGCTTTCATGGTTTTTTATATGCTTTCTGTTGCTTGAGCTTTAATTTTCATAAAATTCACTTTTATCTGAATAAATTCTCTTTATAGTTGAAAATTTTCTTTACTGTTAAATTTTTCTGAACAGTGGGTAGTCAATGGAGAGATTTGTATTGGACTCTTTGCACTGAGGGATATTAAGAAGGTATGTCGCACTTTATATTAATTGACTGTACTCTTCATCCCAGTGCACAATTTTTGTAGGTTTTGTTTGAACTCACCAGAAGCTGCACATCTCTTGTAGAAATTTAGTTAGTTGTGAAATTATTTCTTGATGGTCAAATCCCGAGTTAATATGAAAATTTGAGTATTTAAATTTTTGCTTTTATTTTTTTTTAAATTTTCTTTGTTTCTTTTGATGGCTATAAGTTCAGTTCGAAATCACAAAACTTTTAAAAGAGAAGTGCTGGAATTGAGTAGGTGGAAAGAAATCATAGAATGAGTTAAATAGGACCTATTTTGTTTTCCCTGGTAAACAGGACAAGTATATAGTATGTTTGTTAAGGATGCATGGTTTAATTTAGGGTCTAGAAGTATAGTTGCTTTTCAGTGCATTTTACACTGAAATGTGGAATACAAGGAAAGGGGTCAGTTCAGAATGTTGCTGAGAAGAGGTTTTTAACTTAGCTCATTTAGGCCCCTTTTTCAGATTAATGAGACCAGATTGGGTAAACAGCCTTATGTTAAAGAAGATCTTGTCGTATACTATGTTTTAGTAACTTCTTTAGTGAAAATATAATTGTTGATTAACTTCTGGTCTAGAGAGATTGAACAATATCTAAATAGCATCTGTTCTACCACTGCCTCTTTTTGTAGGTAAGAAATGCTGCTGATTTGTTTCATGTCAAGTCAAACAGTTGAGAATATATTTTCTGTTCTCTACTGACTGCATGCTTATCTGATAGTTTAGTAAATATCTAGTATGTAGTTTTAGTTGGAGAATCAAACAGAACACTGACTGCATAGAACATTTTGCTTGATTTTCTGAAAGAGATCACATGGATAACCTTGAAGCTTCTTACAGGCATTAGAAGTCTTAATGCCTTACAATGTGCCTTTGCCAGAAAAGATACTTGTTGCAGTTTGTTTTAAACTTTTTTCTCCTCTTTCTCTCTCTCTCTCTCTCTCTCTCTCTCTCTCTCTCTCTCTCTGTGGTTCAATGGGAAAATAGTCGGGCCATGGCATTATGACATGTGCAGTTGTCTCTCATTCCGTAAACCTCACTACTGCAACCCCAATGGGATTTAAACCTTTGATCTCCATGCTAGAATTTCAAGCATTAGCAGTATCTCCTTTAGGCCTATGTTTTACATTTAACACGCATGCATTATCATCATTTTGACTTTGTATAAGCCTGGTTTTTGTTCAGGGTGAAGAGGTGACATTTGACTACAACTATGTAAGAGTTGTTGGAGCTGCTGCAAAACAATGTTACTGTGGGTCACCTCAATGTCGAGGCTATATTGGTGGCGATCCAACAAGCACTGAGGTAATTGATCAAGTTGATTCAGATGAAGAATTTCCTGAACCAGTGATGCTTGAAGATGGGGAAGCTGGAGAGAGATTCAAGAATAGATTATCCAGGATCAGTTCCTTTGATGGTGTAGAACTGCAAGTTGCAGAGAGTATATCTAAAGATAGAAATAAAATGGATATTTCTACAACAGCTACTGAGAAAATGGAGGTTGGCCTTGAAATTGAGGACGGCATGAACCAATCTGTCTCTGCCATTTCCCAATTAAGCAGCCCAATGGAAATGAATGATTCAAGGGGAGATATTCCATCTTCTAGTCAGCCAGTAGAAATGTCTGCTCAAGCAGATGATGTAATCAGCAAATCTGCATCTCCTGTCAAGCAAGAAATTTCAAAGGAAGATATTCAAAGTGGGGAGACCTGTCCAACTGCAATGCTGAGCAAATTATCATCTGACGGTATGGTTGCTAACAGAAAGTCCAAGTCTGCTACAGCAGAAGAAAAACGGGTTTTTGTTAAATCACGTTTTCTGATTAAAACTTCGCATCATTCTGGTTCCGGTAAGAAAGGAAAGTTTACTAGTAATCCTACGAATGCTAATAAAGTTCAGATGGTGGCTAGCAAATCTCAGTTGTTGTCTATCAAACCCAAAAGATCTATAGATGGTACTTCTAATGGTCGGTTTGAGGCGGGTAAGAATCCTCCTTTTCCTTGTGTTAACAAATGAGCAATTGTGTATACAATTTTTAATGATTAATGCTTTTTAATGTTTGTAGTCGAGGAGAAACTTAATGAGTTATTGGATGCTGATGGTGGGATAAGCAAAAGAAAAGTAAGCAATTTATTGAAATTTTTGTTATATATATAAAGTTCATGATGGGTGGCTAGCAATCTCAAGTTGTTGTCTATCCAAACCCAAAGCATCTATAGATCGCAGTTACTTCTAATGGTGCGGCTTTCTTGTAGTAGGCGGGTAAAAGATTATCCTCCCTACGTTTTCCTTGTGTTAACCAAATGAGCAATTGTGTATAAATTTTTAATGATTAATTGCAGCTTGTTAACTGAACGTTGTAGTCGAGGCGAGAAAACTTAACTGAGTTATTGGGTATGCTGAATGGTGGGATTACTAGAAAGGCAAAAGAAAAGTAAGCAATATATTGAAATTTTTGTTATATATTATGTCTTAAATAATTATAAAAATATATATATATATATATATAATAAAATATCTTTGTTGGCTTTTTCAGTGTTGATATTTCCTGGTAGCTTACACATCAACATAGGACGGATACCCATCCCCTGGCCTATAATGATACTAGTCTGTTTGTGGTCTTTGAATAGACCCTCATATTTTCCTTCTTTCCTTTGGACTTTTTACGTTATTCCCTTTGGGCTGTTAGGATTGTGTTTCCTGTGCATTATCAAAAGTTATGTAAATAACATATATAATATTTTTGTTGGCTTTTCAGTGGTTGATATTTCCTGGTAGCTTAAATATGACGGAACCGCCTTAGATACTGTCTGTTTGTGGTCTTTAATAGACCTATATTTTCCTCTTTCCTTTGGACTTTTACGTTATTCCTTTGCTGTTAGGATTGTGTCTGTGCATTTCAAAGTTTATGTAATCATGCCTTGCTCTTGTCATTTTCAATACAAAAGTTTTGTATATCATCTTCCTAATGTGACGTATGCTTTTGTTTTTAGAAATGTCATTTTCATGTTTGCTTAAACTAATACTGACTGTCTTTAGTGTTTTTGGCATCTACATATTTTCTCCACTTATGCAGTTTTTATTTGTATTCATTTTCTGACAGGACGCCCCTAAAGTCTACTTGAAGCTTCTGCTTCTTACTGCAGCATCTGGTGCCAGTGGAAATGGTGAAGCAATTCAGAGGTAATTTTGGGTTTTCTCCTGTTTTTTATTTATGATGTACTTTCATCATGACCCAAGTTTGATGCTTAATTATTGTTTATTGTGAGGTGTATGTTTAACAATTTAGCTTATTTATTTTGCAGCAATCGAGATCTATCAATGATTCTTGATGCACTTCTAAAAACTAAATCACGAGTTGTGTTGATTGATATAATTAACAAAAATGGTATGTTCCTTCTCCTGTTGCATAACATGCAAAATTTGCTTCAGGAATGAGCAAAATCATTGTAGTTGCTCCTTCATAATCATTTGCACAAGGAATGACTATTGCTGGCTAAATGAACACCGGTCTCTTCCTTTTAGGTTTGCGAATGCTCCACAACATGATCAAGCAATACCGATGGGACTTTAAAAAGATTCCAATTCTCCGAAAGCTTCTGAAGGTGTACATACTGGGAACCTGGTTATTAGATATAGACCTGACGTTGTTTTCTATGATTGGCTAAACATTTGCGGAAGTTTCCAATCTTTGTATTGCTGCAAGTTTTTCCTTCCATGTGAATCCAAATGTGTCAAAATACAATTTAATATTTGAAACCAAAATATGCATTAAATGGAAATGCTCTTTAGTGAATATGCAACAAACTAATGGTTTTCTGTTCTTTCTACTGTTTTTTGATACTTCAAATATTCCTTCGTAATTTAAAAGTATGGTGCTTTATCAATTAGGGTTGCGTTGATTGGGAATTGTTTGCCTAATAGTACAAACTTATGATTTTCCAGTCTTTCTCTTTTGGTAGGAGGGTAAAGGAAATCAGAGGTCTTTCAAAATTTTTTTTTTTTCCTCCTATAAATTCCTTTTCAAACAGGCATTCCCTTATATCATCAACCTTATTCTTGTGACTTGATTTATTTCATCGAAACTGTTGTGTAGAACTTAAAAGTAAATAACTGAGCAGCTTTCAGGAATTGGTAAGTGTAAGCTACTAAATGATTTTTCTGCAGGTGTTGGAGTATTTGGCTGTCAGGGAGATACTTACACCAGAACATATTAATGGAGGTCCTCCTTGCCCTGGAATGGAGAGGTTAGAATAATATCTGGTTATTGTTAGTGCATTTGACTCTCTGTTAATGAATCAAAAGCCTGTTTTCTTTTTGTTTTTTCTCCACTGGGGGTTACATGCTACAACACATGGTATTATTGCTTCACAATTATTGGACTTCATCTTTTTTCAACTGAAGTCTATTGCCTGACTCTACTCAATTCTGAGGGGCTCTCTAGCTCAATTTGTATCCTCTGTACTGTGTTTTTTTAGTCTTACACTGAGATGTGATTTTTTGAACTGACAAGAAAACTGGAGAAATCTTTTTTTTATTTTTACTTTTTGTTAATGTTAAGAATAGAACATATTAATCCACATCTCGTGATTCAAAAGGGGATTGTCCTTGATCTGAAAGGAAATGAAAAATTAGAAAGGTAACCTGATAAGCTTCTCCTACAATTTTCTCCTTTACAACAATATTAAAATGTAGAGAGAAATGGATACACCTTAGAATGCATGAATTATACAAGAGAAGGAATTGTCTTTGTAGATGAAAAGATTGGATTAATCCTTATTAAGAAAATGTAGTTATACAGGCAACTTTATGAAAAGAAAATCATTGCTGTGTAACTGGCTCTGTTATTTCCTTTCCAATATTCCAAGCCTGCCAAATTCTTGCAAATGTTAACTAGATGGCATTTTTTTTATTAACTCGGTGTTGACTTGACGAACTTATTGATACGTGTTTCTGAGAAGGTTGATGTTGAATTCTGCAGCTTTAGGGAGTCAATGTTGTTATTGACAGAGCACAATGACAAACAGGTATTCTCTCAGACTCTTTCCTTACCAGTCTTAAAAGCATCTTTACTGTGTACTTTGTCTGTCCCAAAGTGTCTTTGGAAGCCAACAATTCAATAGGGATTGATGCATTCAGAGCTGTATTTAAATTCCATCATTGACCTTTATCTAATCCTTAATTCCCATTATATGCTGACAATAATGAAAAGAAAAAAAAAATGTAGCATCTATTTTTTCGAAAGACTGATATTGTGGCAGATGAAAACAGCGGACAAAATCTTTGAGATAGAGAAGCATTTAAAACTATGAATGGAAGCCATATTTGTAAATTAGAAGATCAATTCTGCAGCAACTTGTTATATATGTATATTAGATATGTCTTTGGAAAACCCAGGTTTTAACAAGTTTATCATGAAATGAACAGGTTCATCAAATTGCACGGAATTTCCGGAACAGATGGATTCCTCAACATGGCAGAAAATATAGACATGAGGATAGGGATGATGGGAGGATGGAGTTTCACAGAGGTTCAGTTAATAATAGGGTTTCAGTTCCACTGAATCATTCACGTGATCTAGGTGTAAGGCCTACGGAAGCAATAGAGTGTGCCAGCCAGTCAAAGCTAGCAACTGCCTCTTCTGTGGACTCTGCTGTCCACGAGGGCTGTTCTGCACCTTCTGTTGGCGGTGTGGTAAAAACTCGCAAGCGTAAAAGCCGATGGGATCAACCGGCTGAGGAAAAACCATCTTCAAGATCTCTTCAGAGTGATGGACAGAAGATTCAATCCGGGTTGCTACAACAGTCTGAATACCACTCACAACCTGAAATGGGTAAAGAAATATTGGATAACGTAGAAAAAGGAAGCAAAGAGAATAGTTATTGCCCCCATTGTGCTCTCAATTACTATCTACAAGATGAAGTCAGTTGTGCTGATGACGGAAGGCAGAATATGCAAAGTGACGTTCCACCTGGATTCTCATCTCCCCTTAACCAGAATCTGGTTTCATCAAGTTCTTCATCAACAATTACTGAAATCCAACAACAAAATGGTTGCATGGCATCTCCAATTGGTACAGTTGTTGGGCATCCACAGGAGAAATTCATTTCACGTATGTATGTCTCTTATGGAATTCCGTTGCCTATTGTTCAGCAATTTGGGTCACCTCGGGATGGAAAAGTGGAGAGTTGGACAGTTGCTCCAGGCATGCCTTTCCATCCTTTCCCGCCACTTCCTCCATTTCCCCAACATAAGAAAGAAACTCCATCTCCTGCTGTTAATTCCATGGTGATAAATGGGTCTACAGAAGAAAGGCAACGAGACAGACATGATCTTGCCACTTGTTATCCAAATGAAAACAATCCAAGCACAGCTGGTGGTAACCAGCCAGATATGGATATACCTAGTGAAAATGGCCAACAAGCATTTAAACGAGCTAGGGGATCCTCGCATGATTTGGGAAAGAGATACTTTAGGCAGCAGAAGTGGAATAAAGTGCTGCCCCCTTGGATACGGAATAGGGATGGGTTTGGATGCTTGGGAAACAACTCAAGAGGTGGAATATGTACCGATGTAGGAAGTCTAACAAATGATCACAGAAATTCATACTGTTCACAGGATGTAAGCTGTAGAGTGGAGAAAGCTGGAAATTGCATTAATCAGCAAAAAAGTACCTAAATGAGCATTGATTTTTAGGAAAATCTCTAAACAGCTGCTGGATTTTCTTCCATATTTTGATGTTCCTCAATTCTTTTTTATTTTTTTTTTTGTTTCCAGGTGTTTATTTTCAATTGAAAATTCATTCAATTTCAGAATATCCAGTCTGTTATACTCGGCTCCTAATGACTATAGCTGAGGGAAAAAAACATACTGATCTTGCAATTTGCACTCTTGGATATCAATCAATGAATCTGATCACCCCTGAAAGAGGTAGGCATTTCTTTTCTTGTATCATTTTCTCAGATTAATGGAATACAACATTAATTACTTTGATGGTATCTTCTATTGAGAAAATACAGAACAGAAAAGAAAATCATATCTTGATGATGAAGTTGTATAAGATTGTGTTTCTGCAATGATCGGCTATAGTTGTTGCAGAACTTCATAAATTGTACATTGTGGGTATGCGTTATCATTATATAATTTATTTTTTTTTTGAAAATTAGTAATTTCAATTTAGTAATAGAATTTAATTTGTATTACCTCACTTATTCAATTGTAATTTTTTTAAAAAATAAATATTCAAAAATACTTCTAAAGATTATATGGATGTCATACTTGGAACTTTTATAAAAGAATTGTCTTAAGTATCTAGAAATGTAGTAAAGTAATGATGGCTTTATGGAACAAAGATCAGAGTTAAACTAATTTTATTCATACAAGTCAAAAACCGCAGCCATAATGAAATTCAATGATAGAAATTGACTCTAATAAACGAAGGATGAATGTTAAAGTTTACTGCTTATTCAGCTTGGCATAAAGTTAGCTTTTTCTGGGCAGAGAAGATCACACGTAGATCAAATTACAAAAAATTGATAATCACGCTATGCATCCACAGTCCCTCAAAGCTAGCTTTTCACTCTATGTCCCTTGTATTTCCTTTTCAAATGAATGAATAAACCCATCCAAACAAAATTTCCAACCCCTAAAGAGACGAGAAAAGAAAAAGAAACAAAATATTCAAAATTACACTTCTTTTTATATTTGTACAAAAATCTTCCTAATTTGCAGCATCCTGTTTTCTTGGTTCTGTGCGTTCCATTCCATCAGTATTTCCTCAACAGACTTCGAAAACGGACAAAACACCAAGTTTTTGTTAGTGTTTTGTATTTTCTCCAGCCATTGAAATATTTTCCAATCACCTTTCTATAACTAGGTCTTTGCTGCACCAAAATCCAGTACTCAGCAATATTTGGCCTGCTACTTATATACTCATTTTCCAAATTTAAGAGAACCAAACGAGCCAGAACTGGGATCAGCATTGCATCTGCCATTGAGAACTCTTCCCCAGTTAAATATGATGTTCCATTCAACTTGGTTTCGACCTCATCGAGAAGTCTAACAAGATGTTCTTTGCTCCTTTTTAAAACTTCTGGGTCTTTCAACTTGTCCTCAGTTTCATATGCTTCTTTTAGCTTACGGTGGTAGGCACTCGCTAGATCAGGGGATTCAGCCATCCGAGCAATCACAACTCGTCTTATGAATTTGGAAACAGTAAGACGGTATTTCTGGGGGATGTGAGAGGTGAAGAACTTGGGATTCCATTCTTGTATCTTGTGCATCCATTCAACAACTTCTCTGCTACTAAAGGAAGCTTCATCAGCGCCTGCTGAGACAACTGCAATTCTTTCAATATACCTGCAAAATTTCCTTATCGCTTCATAATCTTACCTTTTCTGTAGACAGAGTAATTGAAAAAGATTTTCAGCAACAGGTAGGATTTTTTTTTTTTCTTTTCCTTTAATCTGTCATACAACGAGAAATAACTAGAGATGAAACTTGAATTCCTTCAAGAGAGTGAGATTCCAACAACACCTTAATTCTTGTAATTATACTCGCAAACATTAACAGAAGGAGGAGAGTGAAAGGATAAGACATACTGGATTATCTCAATGGTGTCAAAAATGATATGGCTGCCATTCTGGAAAACAGGGAGCTTTGCACTCGGATTTTTCCTGAAGAATGAGGAATCCATATTCTTGCCTGTTATAGGATTGACGTGGTGCGATGTGTAATCAACGCCCTTCTCTTCCAAAGCAAGTCTCACTTTCTGACTATCCAGAGAGAATGGATGGTGATACAACTGCATGATTCAAGTAACACCCGCACGCCTCGCAGGATTTTTTACTAGTTGTTTGAGAAGTTCTTTGCTTCAACTTCAGATTGTCTTGAGATAACCTATGTCGAATGCAAGAGATTATGTGAAGGTGGCAACCGAATGAACATAAAAAGGTTAATCAGCATCTTTCTTATCTATCAACATCTTCTTTATAATAGCCAATAAAAATAAAACAACTTGAAAATAGGCATTCGCTACAAGCTACAAAATTAATATATGCAGAAGCATTTTCCGACATAATTCAGAATCCTTTTTTCTTTCCAGAAGTGTCAAAACATACACAAGTAATCCCTACATTACTCCTAGATCATATAACTAAGGAAAGAATGATCTGCATATCATATTTCCTTGATTTTGTAAGATTAAGGCTAATTTAATCAATATAGGATAGCAAGATCAAATCAGTAAATTATATTAATTTACTAAATTATCATCATGAATAATAAATAATGAATCATACTCTTTATGCAACTAATCACAAAACAAAAACACGAGTTTGTCCAAGCAAAACAGGCGTTATAGCTTGAAATGCCCGCAACAAGAAATTAGCTCTATAAAGCCAAATTAAAAAACCTTAATAGACCCTATCAAAGTAGAGCTTAACAGCACCATTAAATTCATACTCTCCAACAAATAGTATATCGAACCCAGATTCTTTTGAAACCATGTTCATGATACCCAAATAAATAAATCTTTGCAGTTAAATTCATAATACAAGGAGCAACCCAGATCACATATAGTCCCATACCATGAAAATATTTGAAAAATCACAGTTTAAATTGTAGAGCAGGGGAACTAGTAAGGTCAAAAAACAAATTAGAGAATGAGCAAAATACAGGAGAAACAAAAATTCCTCAATTAACCAGTAAAAAGAGCTAAAGATGAAACCTTTTCAACTACATACTTAAGTCAAATTCAAAAGACATAACCCAAATTAAAAAAATGAAGAAAACTAGAAAATTGATGACAAAAACAACGAGAGACTGTTGACTAAGACTTACCCAGAAGAGAAGAGGAGAGAGATTTTTTTTTTTTTTTTTTTTTTTTTTTTTTTTTTTTTTTTTTTTTTGGCTTATTTTTTGAGATTTGGCGTGTGGGCTATTTTTTTTTTTTTTTTTTTTTTTGGCTTATTTTTTGAGATTTGCGTGTGGGCACATGAAAGAAAGAACAGACTTTTACTTACTAAAAAAGGAATAATAATGACCAAAAATTGATAGAAAGTGTGCGTGGTATTTTGTAAAGGAAAAAGGAAGAAGAGAAGATTACAGCATCATATGCTTATGCTTCTGCTTCCGATTAAAAAAAAAAGTTCGCTTGCTCAATGCTAACTGTCCATGAAAGGCGTGGTCGGCCAACTCGCTTGCGCGTGCACGATCACAGTTACTCGCTCAATTAAATTGCTATTAGCCTGTTACTTGTATTACAATACATTGACGTGTCTCGTAGTTGTTTCTCTTTTTTTTTTTTTAAATTTTTTTGAGAAAATTTTCTTTTTTTATTTATTTACAGTGAAATAAATTAAAATTGTATTAACTATAAAGTAGGGGATTGAACATCATTTTGAATAACATTTATTAAATACATTTAAAAAGAAAAAAAAAACTAATCAAATCACAGCTAATTGATTTAAAAGATATGACAATGATATAATAATAATAATAATAATAATAAATCATGCAAAAAAAATTTTTTTATCAATTTTTTTCTTTGATAAGCTATATAATATAGATATATTATTATAAAAATAATAAGAAATATAAACATCAATTGATTGAAAATTTTTTATTTGCAAATAATCTGAACATAGAAAGTTGATTTTCAGGATAATTATCGATCCATTTTCAAGCCAGATGACAAGAAATTTTCGTAATATAGAAAATTGATTTTCAGGATAATTACCTGTCCATTTTCATGTCCAATGACAAAAGAAATTTTCTACAATTCTATTTAAATTATTAAATTTAGTGTTCTTAAAAGAATTTAAGCCGTTGAATATTGATGAAGGAACAAGTGGTATTAACGATTTCATTTATAAAAGAGCACTACATATATTTAAAAATTTAAAGTTTTGGATTAATCAATGGAATGTATTGTAAGCTATTAAAAATAATATAGCACAAACACACATGAAGATTAAATAAATAAAAAAATATCCTATTTATTTATTATCAAATCAACTGTTTTGATTGTAGAATATATAGATTATGTTTCAATGAACACAAGAGAAATCTCAAAATTAATGTGTAGTTTAATGACGTTCAATAATTGAAGTCTACCTAAGAAAATAAGTGTCAATTTTTATTCATAGAAATTTATTTATAGAAATATAATCTCTTTTAAAAGAAAAAAAAAAAAAAAAGGAAAAAGAAACAATGGATGGGTTAGGTTAGGTTAGATTAGGGCAACACTTCTTCATGCACCACTAGCGAATGGGTCTGGTCATGTGCTTGACAAAGGGAACAAAAAGCCAACTTGGAAGGAAGTATGTGGCTGGATGCACTCAAATAACTGTAGGGCTACTGGTGGGGGACTGAGGATACACTCTTCCCGTATGGCCACATTATTAATTTCCTATATCTAAGTCTATATATAAGTCTATCCCATATGACATTGGAAGAATGAGATTTTTTGGTTTTCAAGAATCTAAAAAATGTGCAGTCATATTGTTAGATGAAACACTTCCTTTATGTCGTTTTCTTTTTCTTTGTTAGAAAGACCTAATTGAAGAGGTCTTTTCTGTTCAATCATGTTTTTTTCTTACGTTCAAGAAACGGAAGATTGATCTTGATTGTATTTGCAATGTTACTATTAAATATTGAATTTTATTAGAAGAAAGAGACACAGATGAGGAGAGGAATATTAACGAAACATAAACAATGGTGCCTTCGATTAATCCATGAAATTATATATAGTTAATTTCTTTCAGCCTAAGCCATAATCTTTGACTTTCTATCCTGTTAGAAGCGGTTTTTTTGGGTTGGATTCTGAATATTAAATTTAAAAAAAAAATTTATTATTCTAAATGATTAAAAAGTAATATTAAAAATTAATTATTGAATGATTAAAAAGTTATATCAAAAATTAATTATTGAATGATTAAAAAGTGATATATGATGGCGTTTTATAATTTGTAGATATTTCATCTAATAAATTATATATGGCTTATTGAATTAACTTTAAAAATAAAATTTTCTATTGGTTTCAAAAAATTGATTTACAGATTTACATAAATAATACAGATTTTTTTTTTTTTATACTTGCACAAGGTATCATGGCTCGTGCCTTCAGAAGCAAAGGACTGGTCCGAGGAGAGTTTGCATTTACGTGGATTAATTAAGTCATAGTGATTCACCCTGCAAATGTTTTTTATATTCTTTGCCACTGAACTATTCTCATTCAGATTATAACTAATATAGATTTTTTTGAAGGTATAAATAATACAGATTTAGATAAATAACTTATTAGTCTTAACATAAGTAAATAAATTATTTCATTTTATTTGAAAAAAAAAAAAAAAAGCCAGAAGATGCAAAGACAAAACTTACCACCCATCAATTTCTTCCCTAAAAGGAGATTAATAGGTACTTATGATCTTGTATAAGTTCCAAATCCAGGCCCAACTTTGGGCTGATTAAGCCTAGACTTTACATGCTCTAGGAAATGGATCAGCCCATAACAGCTGTAGAACATGGCCTAGCCCACTAGTTTGTAACTGGCCTTTTGTTGCTTGGGGCAACTCAGCAAATGCCAGAAATAAGCTTTTAAATTAAACAAAATTTCAGAAAAGTAACACAATATCAATTTTGATAAAAAATTAAGTAATACCAAAAGTAACCTTAAAAAGAAAAGTTTATGTGATTCAAACACGGTCACCAACTTCTGATTTCCGAAGACAAATTTTGAACAACTGACTTCTGGCGATGCCGACGGTAATAAACGATAATAGCAGCGACGGTGACAAAGATAATGACAGCAATGACGACAATAAAAAAGATGACAATAAAAGGGTAAAATAGTAAATGAATAAGAATGAAAATCACATCATTTTAATATTCAAGGTCAAAAACATTTTAATATTTAATATTTAAGGTCAATAAATATTTATTATTCACTGGACTAAATGCCTATCTCTAAGAATTCTTCACTATGGCTTTTCTTTCTTTCTTTCTTTTTTTAATTTAATTTAATTTTCTATTTATTTCGTTTTATTAAATTTTTTGGTCAAATTGTACTAATTCGAAGTAATTGACAATTATCATTTCACTAAATTAATTTTTTTACAATTACATCAATTGCTTAACTAGTCAATTAATTAGTTAATCAATCAAACCAATTTAATTAGATTCACTTCATCAATAAATTATTAAAAAATAATATACTAATCATATTTAATCTTAAAAATAATTAACAAATTAAGTTGAATTGACCACGAAATTATTTTTCTAATGATCAATTTAGTCCAATTTGTAAAAATATTAGTAGAAAAACATATAAAATTCACAAGTTGAAGATGTAACGTAGGTATTAAATGTCTCTGCAAGATTACTAGTTACAGGCTCATACCTCTGCATCCTCAGACAAAGGCCTACAAAATTTATTATTTCCTCTTCTCATGCAATTAGTTACTGCATCATCAGAGATTGTAATTAATGTTTCCTAGTTCTTATTAGATGCAGCTGCAAAGCTCAAGTATAACGTGCTTTGTTCAAGCATTCACCTTTGTGTTTGTGAACTTTTTTACAGTTGGCTTTGTATAGTTTTTGTAGAGTAAGAGAGAGACTTACTTTTATATCCAAATTATTTTTAGTATCTACGAGTATTAAAATAGTGACAAATAAAGTGGGAAAAAAAAATGTTAAGAGAGTAATAAATTTAATTGAACGAAAAGAGTAATTAATTTCAAATTTTTAAAAAAAAAAAAAAAAAAAAAATAATTGACGAAAAGAGTAATTAATTTCCAAATTTTAATTTTAAAAAAAAAAAAAAAAAAAAAGAAGTTAAAAATAGGAAGTACGATTAATTGACCGTTCGAAATTTGGGGGTAAATTAATTTAGCTCTCTAAATGGCAATTAATTGATAGACGTGTGGTTGTGCTTCAATTGGCGGTTAACATTTCATTTTCTTTTGACGCGAAAAAGGTCTGATATATATGGCACCCTTCTTCATTCAATTTTTTTTTTTTCCTTGAAAAAAACAAATAGATGTGTTAGTCATTGACCGGTGGCCATCGGTCAGGTGTTGACGTTCTGATTTAAGACACTCCATAGAGCGTATCGACCCCTCGAGCATTAGTGGGAGACACTTACCCCTTCCTGCAGATCATGACGTTGCAATCCTCAGCCTACAATAATAGAGCTTTGCCTAAGGTAGCCCACAAAGTAATCGTGGCTCCTAGGCAGTAGAGTCCATAAAAAAAATTAAATTAGTATTTATATATATATTACTGTAATACCTTTTATTTTTTTATTAATTCTTTATCCGATTGGATTTTTTTTATTGAATTAATAAGTATTAATTTCCCTCAATATAATTAGGTCTATTAGTATAGTGAATTGGTATTAATTTGCTTAATCGCATGCTACCTCCGTCCTTAAATATTTATCATATTTGGAATTTCACATCTCTCAAAAAAATCATTAAATTTGTACAAATTATAATAAATTATTAAATAAATTGACTATATTCTTTTAATTTAATATATCAAAACACTAAAAGGGTGTATTGGATTAAGATCGTGTAA